ACAAGCTTTTTAAGTACGTATTACAGTGCACAGTAACATTTCCAACCAGGGTATGTAAGAACAAACAAGCTTTTTAAGTACGTATTACAGTGCACAGTAACATTTCCAACCAGGGTATGTAGGGCTTGGGTAATTTCTATTTCATAAATCAAGCGTAAATGTTTACAAGCTACAGAATACATGTGTAATCATAGGGTTATCTAACTTTGATATTCATAAAATAAAATAAAAACAGGCTGGGTTTCAATACTCTTACATACATTTCAAAATAAATTATGTAAAAAAAAATCTGTTTAAGTACGTATAACACTGTACAATAATGTTCCGTGACAAGGTGTGTAAGAACAAACAAGCTGTTTAAGTACGTATAACATTGTACAATAATGTTCCGTGACAAGGTGTGTAAGAACAAACAAGCTGTTTAAGTACGTATAATATTGTACAATAACGTTCCCAGCAAGGGAACGTGTATAAGTACGTATACATTTACACAGCAAACTTAAAAAAACCCAGAAACATGAGCGCTTTCGAAAAGTTTTCTATTCAAGATCAGGAGTAAAAAAAGCGTTATTTTTTACAGTTATGTTCCCAACCAGCGCATCAAATAACTAACCGTATAAATACGTCTCACATTCGACATTGTTGTAAAGACTAAAGTTTATTTTAAAAAAAAAAGAAATTCTGTTCACGTTACTAGAAGCTAAATGAATATTTTACTGTATACTGCTAAAAAAAAAGTATTAATGACCCATATTAATCAACCTATGATAATTTCCCACCATCTTACTTGTCGCGGTACATTCATTCTCCCCCGGGGAAAATGTCTGTATACGTTAGGGGAATGTACGATAACTTAAAAAAAAAACTTTTGCTGGCTTTGTATTATCACTATATTTTGTATTTAATTGTTAATTGATTCTTAATTTGGACTGGACTCTGGAATCATGTTATTAATATACTAGAATGGAAAGATGCCGTGATTTATCTGTCATTTGATAAAATTATACATTACACTTTATTGTTTGTAAAAACAAATGTAACTGTAACTTATCAAACACCAAGAGATAAGTTTTATACTAGTCAATCAGAAATAAAGTCGCAACAGCTGTGCGCCAAAAATTGTGAAAACTAATAAAATAACCATAACGTTATTAAGTTTGATAATTTCCTTGTAAAACGTTACAAAATAAGCATTCAGATCAGCGGGATTAATTTTTAGGTTCGGCTCAGCGAGGATGGGATCATCATTAAGCCGAGTAAAAGTGTACTCCCACGGCAGCTATGTATCCTAACCTTGCTTCTTGCACGCTGGTTCGTTATGAAGTGTTTCTTTTCGTGCGTTTCCCGAGCTTCCGCGCTGGGTATAAATATGCTATATATCAATTCAAAGTGTTTACTGACTTTACACTGAATGGACCTGGATAAGCTACAAACCTGTCCTGTCACGCATACCCTGACAACACTGATATACTTGGCTACGTGTAATATACAAACGTATTGCGAAAGTCAAGTCTTACTCACCATTTTGTAGAAAGGTGGTTACTTCTTCTTCCAGGTCGATGTGCCGTGGGTGGGCTTGTTTCCGGCGCGCCATCCCGAAGAGTCGTCGGCCGCTAAAATGACAAAATCGGGAGATAGCAAAACTCTAATTGATACAGCACATGCTACTGCGCATGTCACAATTATGATTATCAATAATGCATTAAGATTATCATAATCAAATTGTTCAAGCTATCGCTATTGGTCCTAAACCCGCACTTGCCATCACGAAGGGCCAACATTTGAAAAGTTTGTTCGAATTAAAGGGTTACGTGCGCTACGATTTCAAGTCGGTCAAATATTCGGCAGATGGTAGTTGTCATAGTTTCTTGGTTAAAGATGTTGCCCATGGCTACGTGTTCAGCTCAGAACACGGTTCTAGAAGTGTTAAGCAGAATATGTTGATTTTCAAATTTCAGCACGGGAAAAGCGGTATCTGTAAAGAGAAAGGTGGGAAGGGGGTCAGCGGGAGGTGGTGCTGACCATTCAAAGTGCCTAGGTACAGGTCAGTCCTCAAGGTGAACATCTCATTCATCTTCAGTTTAACTCACTGTAATGGCGGCAAGTGGACAGCGGCTGTTTGTAATCACCAGGACTGACCACAAATCATTCTGTCCTCTACCTAGTCATACACGTTCAATCTGTGCTGAAATATTTCTTGTTACACAAATTTTGTCTCTTTCTGTACAAGGCAGACAAAGCGCAAACAGATGCGAAAGCGTCACACAATTTCGCGGCACGAAGTGGGGCGCTAATGTCCCAGTAGTGGCTTGTTGTACGCGGAATGAGTCGTTTGCCGTCTGTGCCCGCTAAACCGGAAAGAACTTATGGCGTGTACGCTGAATAAATCGGTTTTCCTGCTCCGTGTGTGATGGCTTCGAGTTAGCACCAGTGCCTGTTTCTCTACACGCTCCTTTTTTTAACCCCTGTGTTTCTGCCAACTTTCGAATAAATTCCTACCTCAAGATCTTTATCCGACTTCGCTTCCACAAAACAGCGGAAAACGACAAAATAAAAATAAATACGACAGCGCTACATACCTGAACAAATATAAAATTAATACATTTCTATTTAGGTTAGGTCAGTTACATCAGTAAATATAAAGAAACTTTATATTTAACTAGCTGTGGGTTGTAATCCTGCTGACAAGACAGAATGCTACGACGTCACTTATGTAGTAGGGGTACAAAGAATCAACTCTACACCTACTCGTTCAGTGGATTGAGGAATAGGTAAGTTTTTAACTCACTTTCAAGTCGTGCCTGGTGGGCATGGGCAGGATCGGTGGCAAAGTTCCGTCCAGCCGACGCTCTGACGCAAGTCGCCGGGCCCGCCTCGCCGTTGACCAGCTACGTTACTCGGCAGTTGTCTCCTCGAAGCGCCACTGATGCTCAGACCTCGGCGGCGCTGCAAACACACTACGTTCTGATTGGTCAGAGCGGTGTTGTGACATCACGCCCGACCGCGGCACCTAAGCATGATTTATAAGTAGTTGCTGAAGATAGTTTTGAATATGGCTAAGACTAAGAACAAGCACGCGTTGTGGACCTGTCGAGAGTCAGCCTTGGTCTGTGTACCATCTCGTGCATGCAGTAGATGATGAGGCTTCTAGCCCGCAGCCCTGGGCCGCCAGTAAAACCAATCATAACGCAAGGGCCGCGGCCATACATATCGGGCGTGCTGTGTCCGAAATGATGCACTTGCGCGAAGGGTGGTGAGAGCCGGGCTACTGAGCAGGTGACATGACCACAACTATGTGTATAAACATCACAGAAGAGGGCGTTCATAAGCAGTCGCTTACTAAAACAAATGTAGAGAAGATTTTCTGTATTTACGGCGCTTATACACGCTAGTGCACATTATACATATACGCGTATGCCTGCTATAAATAGTAGCGAACTACTGTACTATGTATATTTAACATATATTTTCGGTAGAAAAAAATACCATTCATATAAATGTGTGTACTTGTGTTCATAAAATTAATATATTTATCATTTTTAGATATTAAAACTAGGCCATATGCTTTACACGGAAACCAAAGAATGTTCCAGAAGCTGCATAGTATATAGCTATATTGAATGGTTATTGAATGATCAACTACATATAAACATATACGTGCGTGTTTAATGTCATCATCTATATGTTTGGTTCTATTCAAGACTAATATATATATATATATATAGAGAGAGAGACAGAGAGATCCATATATATATACTTATGATTCATTATTGCCTAACAATGCAGACTACGTATATATGTGTATAATAACGTGTATACGTTATTACTATATCTAAAATATAGTAATCATAAACCGACAAGTCCATCTGTTCGTTCTTCTATCTCTACCGGTGACGAATGCAGAGCGAACAGATAGCCCGTTGTGTTAATTTGCGTGAAAAACAAAAGAAATAAATTACAAATCTATTAATCTATGGCTATTTTACGAGACTATACAGCTTACGGTAGTAAAATTGTGTTCGGAGTTTTATATATCATTGTACTATGATAACTATGATCGGGTGGAAGCGGCTGATATCTGAGCGAACAGAAACTGAAATCATAAAACAGAAACTACGCCATCAATAGTGCGTTCAACATCCACTCTCAACCCCAGATGCTTGCCTTATATTGTTCTTGCCTGGACAACCGCGTCTCTCATATTTACCGAATGACCTATGAAAGCTCAAATGGTATAACAATATAACCGCATATTCTTATATGATTTTTCATGTATACATACATACACACATATATTTATACGAGCACATGAAAAATAACACACGCAATGTGTTTCCTTAGGGTTACCAAAGTACGTATACGCAAGGCGTCTTATTTTACACAGACGAGGTTGTGTTATTCATTCAATATATCCAAAGAGTGTTTAACCTTTTATGGAAGCCACTATTTGCTATACTACGGTAGTGTAAGAGCACGTGTTCATAGCGGAATTACGACATTCCGTCGAAGTTTGATAGCGTATATCAGAGGCAACTTTGCACAGACCATGAAATGTCGAACACTGCTGTTCGTTTGGTCAGTGGTGCCGCTGTTACCACCGTCTTATACTATGTGACAGGTGGGGTTTATTTATATTTCATTATTATTACCTCCTGTTAGGTGATTGGTTTAATGTTAGAAGTTTTCCCGATTGTTCGTTGACGGTCATTACTATTGTGTTCGTAGAAGCACTACATTTAATTAAAGCAGTCTCCAATGCATCGTTGATACCTTAAACTCACTACAAGGCACTTATTTTGAGTAAAATTGTACTCGCTAAGCCTAACTATGGAGACTACTTAGGTCTTTGTCATACGTGTGATAATCTATAAGTTAACGTAAATACTTTTGAAAATATACTGTTATCGTCACTTATATTACTTTTAAATTTCGTGTTGATATTAAAATTTTTATTAAGCACTTTTACTAATCCTGTTGCCCTTTCTGTGACGTCATCCTGTTCAAGCTGCCACCTATCGTCAGGCATGATGATGGCATTAACCTGGCTTCACTTCACTGATCACTGAAGTTGCATTTTCTTGACAATTTTGTTAATAATTCTGATATATATATATATATATATCATACATGTTTTTTTTATCCTTCTCACTTAATGAATATAATGTATCCTGTAGGTCTTTCAGTCATAATCGTATTGTTTAATATCAAACCTATGATAGGCCAGGATCAGTTTTCAAAGTCCTAAATTCACGGTACGATCACTTTTAATATAGTTAGGTTTAAAATATATCTGAGGAAAAAAAAGAGTCAGATTTTAATCTATATTCTCATATTGTTTTCGGGCCAATCAAAGGGTCCTTCCTAACCATTTAGGAAACAATAAAACCTAAAACTGTGAAACAAAGAAAACGAATGAAAAAGTCAGACAAAGACCCCTGTGGTATGATTAAATAGAAAACCAAAAAAATGGGGGTTACCATAAAAATGGTTAATCATAAATAGATTTTTAGTGTTCACAATGTTTCTGGCCGGGACGCCCTTTATCTGATGATTTTAAACTTTGATTTCTTAACTGTAGAGCCACCAGATGACGGTCGTCCAGGACCGAAACGTTGTGAACATTAAAACATGTATTTATCATTCCTCCTTTTTCTTGTGGTATGACTTTTTGTCCCTTTTATTCTTTTAAAACAAATGATACGGATCAGCTTGTACGGTGCCTTGAATATGATCGAATACGGTATAAATTTAGAAATGTTGAATACGATACTATGTTCACATTATTGGTATTGTATCTAATATCTCACAGACAGTTCATGACGAGTCGCTTGAATTAATTACTTTTAATAAGATGCTATTTATTTTGTGCGCTTTCGACAGATGTTGAATGAAAGTAATTAGTTGAAATAACGTTGTATCCAACGTTTTTACCCATTGTAAAGAACCATCTCGTTCTTTGTTTTTTGTAACCCTTACCAGCCACAGAATGCATTTTGGATGACTTCACCATCAACCAAATATATCATCAGTTTTTTTTGTTTTTTTAGCAATTCGACATTTGGCCAACTTTGATTTCTTCTTCTTAAAGTAACATCTGGATTCCGTGATACTTGATTCGCTGATAAAAAGTTCGTGATACCTGAGACTGTTGGTTACGCATCATGTTACGTGACACTGTTGACAATAAAACGCACGTTTTCTGAAGCTCAATACTGTTTTTATTATTTTTAAAAAAAGCGTTTCATAAAGTGGATACTGTAGTGTTTACAGTTGTTTAAGACTAACTAAGTGACTTGAAACGACATTGGACTTGACCATCTGTCATTGTATCATTGCCCATGGAAACAACACGTGGATATTTGCCACCAACTTACATAAGAAGTTTTTAAACTTACGCATCATTAAATTAATAAATAGAAACTTGACTTGAATTTTGAGTAACTCAGTGCTCTAAAAAAACCTCCTAATCAGTACTTATTTTGAAGTAGTTTAGCCTAATTCACACATGCTTTAGCAAATGCGCTCAATACAACACATGGAAAAGGGTAAAGTTGCGATTCTTGCGTAAGGTTTATTGAAATTAAATAACAGTTAGAACTTGTGGTATAACTGG